TATATATATATATATACATATATATAATTTCAATCAATTTCTAATTTAATACTTCATGTATATTTATCACAGTTTTACTTGTGCTAAAAATTTAGATACAAATCTGAAAGTAATTTATTAGGCCATTAAAATAATTACGGACTCTTTTCACAGAATTCTGTAGTATTGCTCATCATGCTTGAGATTTCTACGTAATTATTTTTGTTTTAATAAAATTATTTTTGGATTTGTATCTGTTAAATCTCTATTATACTTTCAGCAAAATCGTTTCTTTGTCTAATTACTGACTTTTGATTGGGTAAATTTTAATTCTCCATCTGTAATTATATTGTTCCGCCAACTCAACTCAAATATTAAAATCTTTAATAAGAATTAAAATTTGAGCAAACCTGAGGAGAAATTAAAATTTGTATTTAAAAATGTATAATTTATAATTAGTAATAACGGAACCGGACTCCACCCTCTCTCTTTTATTTCGAAGAAATTTCAGAGTAAAATTTCGCTTCAACAAATTTCGTGCCAAAAAAGATCCGGATTACAGACAGAGAGATTAATAGTGGATTTAAAATCGCTTGGAAAGTAGCGCGATCGACTGATGGATCGGTCGGCTACCGCGTCTGATATTTACTACGTTTTTCTACTGTGTACAGTTTAATAATGAAACTCGTTTAGTCGCAAGAGAGCAAAAATATTCTCCTTGCTTGCATACGTTTACTACTTTTTCTTATTTTAGTTTCAAGATATATACAATCGACTCCTGCCACTCTAAATCTGTAGCAATGAAATTTCACTGCATTAAATTGAAATTTCAATACAGGCATTAGTGACAATTGTGCCAATGTTACTGCCAATGAATTTTACTGCAAGATGGAAATGGAAAATCCATTCGATAATTAAAGTGCAAAATTTACTCCAAAAAGGAGTGAATTTAAAGATTAGAATAATGACAGAATAATGTCATTTCATATCCAGATAACAAAACCCACGAAGATTTTGAACAGAGCATGCTATCAATCTATCAACCTATTAACTTTATTTTTAATTATAAATTTTTCAAAAAATTATATACGTTATAAATTTAATTTATTTAATGGTAAAATAATGATTTAATGATATATATAATGGTGTATATGTATATAATTTTGACAAACAATAAATATGCGTAAAACAATATAATAATGCGCTATGTCGCTAATTCACTTTTTGCAATGCATTATCAACTAATGCTTAAACCACTTCGATTAATCGAATGAAATAGTCCACTCCTTTATGTAAGAGTAGACAGATTAACTTTAAAGCTGTAAAACACTTAAAGCAATGACTTTGTTACTCACTTTTGTTAGCAGTAAAATTTTGCTACAGATTTAGAGTGATGAGCACAAAATTATGCTTTGCTCATGCAAAATAAAGATCGGTAAAAAGCGTGCAGCACTCACGTGGGGTTCTCTCCGAGAGCTTGTGGCGCGTGGCGACAGGGATGATAACCGGATCGCGACGAGGCCGACCGGCCAGCCGGACGGACCGCCCGGCGGAGCTGCTGCTGCTGCTACGCGCGACACTACTCTGAGAGTGGCAACGCACCGCCGGCGCCGGCGACGTTCGGCGTCGCGCGCCGTATACCCTCACGTCGAGCGTTGCGCGGGCTTTGTCGGCGACCGCGCCGTCGCTGATCGTGGACCCTCTCTCCTTCCGTCGCGCCTCTCTTGCTCGCAGGAGTCTCAGGCCTCCTCCAGGCTCCAGCACTGTTGCCAAGTCTGTTTAAAAGTTATCCATTATATTGCGATTCTCTCTCAAAATTTGGAATTCTTTGTATTTTTCTCTCCAAAAGTTACTTATTTACTTTGAAATTCTCCTAAACTTTTTGTACCTTCAAAAGATTTCAAAAGAAAAAATCTTCAAATCTGGTGGAAATTCCATTAAATTGGCAACACTCTCCTCCTACTCCTTCTCAGTCGAGTCCTAGTCGACCGCAATAAGGGTCATTCCCAGCTTCAACCGTAGAAAAAATTATTTCGATAGCGGCAAAACGCGTGCAGAATTCGCGCCACTCGTTTCTTCTTTCTTCTTTTCTTCATCATTTTCTATTTCTCTCTGTTCCATTTGCTATGAGGATACGTTCCATTTGAAGCTTACAACCCTCGTGGGCATTATTTGTTCTTATTTAACATGTGATAAATAACAAGGATAAAATGATTTCACGAGCGCTAAGTGGAACGCAGCCGGAATGCCCGGGATAGCGCGTGTCAGATAAGGTTTTCTCTCACAATCAGTCTCCAATGGAGAACTTGGTGAGTTGAAGCTACACCTGCTGACATCATGCTGAGACTGGCGCAACAAGCAGAAAGATTCCGTCTGTCAAGCCACTCGAGATCTGCAAAGTAGGCAATCCTAAATGCGAATTTTGGCATAATTTTACTTCGCATTCGATTATCCACAATCTGCCCACATTAGTCCATAAAAAATAATTTTTTGTCCACCTGAAAAAAATTATAAATAAATAAAAAATTCTCGCATCTCTATGTGTATTTTTTTTTTTAATTACATACGAATGATTGTCCACTATGTATATGCATGTGTCCATATATAATTGTCTTCACTTTGCAAAACTAAGTTATAAACAAATAAAAAATTTAAAAAGTTCATCACGACATTTGTAAGAATCGTAAGTGCGTTTGTCTCTAAATTGTGTATGGAATTCGATTGTCCACAATTTATCAACGTTTGTTTATAAACAATTATTTGTTAATTTTGTAAAATATATAATGAACGCAAATATTGTTACATTATAAGTATCCTCAATTCAATTTCGCACGCAAACAGCTGATTCACGATTTAATATGCGATTGATCGAAAAAAAAACCCGCGTAATTTGAACCATAATGAAATTGTTCGGATGATTATTTTTAAACAGATAAACCTCTCCGAGGTAATCACTTAAAAAAAAATTAAATTTTCTTTTTGTTTCTCTGTCCGTTTTGTCTTGCAGTACGTCGTATTTAATAAAAAGATGTGTAGGCTTCATATCTGTTATAATTAATATAATAGTAAGAAGTATATATAT